AAGTTGAATTTACAAACTTTTATCCAACTTTATTCAAATATTGTCCTACTACTTCTCTCTGAGGCAACAGAGGTGAAAATTCCCATTCTTCAGAAGTCATGAAAACACCTCCGATGCCATTCTAGCTATTCTAGTGACCCACAAGTGATGCACAGACTAAGATATATGCTGCCTCTCTGCTCAGAAAAGGATTTCGCCTTTGCAGACAAATGTTGAGGAACCAACTCAGCAGCATTTGCTTTGTTTCCATTATGCAATGGCATAGACAAGCCATTTGTTGCTATGTCGCATCAGGATAAAATGGAGCCCTTTTGCTATGCTTTACTGAAAAATACATGTAAGGACAGCTTTACTTGCTTATAGACTTTAAGACTCTTGTCTCAGTGTTATTCAAAATGCGCACATTTTAGTTTGTTCTAATCTGGAGAGACCAAATAGCTCCCACAATGAGGATTTAACTCCCTCTCAGGGAATATCTAGGCTAGAGGGTACTTCGAGACAGGTTATGCTCTGTATGGACAATATAAATGCAGGCTGAGGTGAGACATAAGGTGCAGATTATGTGACAGGCAAGTATTTCTTGCCAGCTCCTGTCCCCACTCCGGATTTTGGATTCTCATGCTTTTGACTAGACTGTCTTGGACCTTAGAAAAGAGTCCACCCAATGCTGCAGCTGGAGGGAGAGGCTTGTGTGGCTTTTGGAGGAAGATCCTAATAATCTAGCTGGTGATCCAGAATGATTTCCTACATCTTTGTAGGATTCCTTAAATTCATTATATCTTTGTAAGAGCTTTTTTTCTTAATGACATGTGTACAGATACGATAATCTAAAAACATGGGGGTCCAAGGTTCTTATGGTGCTTAGCTCCGTCTTTCAAGAGAATTAGTCACAATTTGGCGTATATAGTGCCAAAGTGCATGTGTTGTATTTTTGCTGGTAAGAAGAACTAAATGCTAGATGCTAGCAGCTGTATTTTAGAGATGAGTGTCATGCACATGCAGTACTCATCACCTACAGAGGCGTCTCAATGGCTGAGAGAAAAGAAGCGTGTGCCGAATGTCTGAGAGACACTGACCAGTGGGAAACTTGAGTGGGGGTAGCTCTCTGTGACTCCTCAGCTCCATCCCCACTCAAGCAAATTATCTCCAGCCTCCCTCACGGTGAACTGTTTTGTCTCCCACTACCTTCTCCAAGAAGCAGCAGTTGATCTTCCTTCTAGCCATACCAACCATGGAGAGAGACTGGTGTCAGAGAAGCAGAGGGCATAGGACTCATGCTCAGCTTTTGGTTGCCACCAAAAGACGAAGTGCCAGTTGTGGTTCTGTGCTGGAAGGAGCTGGCCTCACAAGAGAGTCATTCAGTGCTACAAACTCTCCTGCAACTGCAGTAACCCATCTCTGGGGTTCTGGTGGGGATATTTAGGGATATTTAGGGCAGAAGGGGATATTTAGCTGCTAGGACAAATTTAATCTCAAACAGCCATTCCTCCTGGATGCTGGCCCCAGCTGAATTCAGCAAATTAGACCACCAGTTGGACCATATGTAGTAGTTTTACCTGCAAGGGGTAGTTTTATCTGCACTGGATGAACCTCTTAATGACTAAATCGTTTCCCTTTTCTAATTAAATATAAGTTAAATGGCAAGGGTATTATGGATGGGAGTGCAGCTTTTGATATTAGTGCAAGCAAAAACTACAAAAATAAACAAGAGCATTCAGAGGGGAATTATAAAGAGGAAACAGAGCAAAACAAGGTGCTAAACCAATAATCTCCCTGATCTCAGTAATTCCTTCTACATTGCTTGCAGGAGCCAAAGTAATGCCATTTACCTGGCAAAAATAGAAGGCTAGAAAAGTGGTATCGCAGAAGCAACAGACTGCAAGAGAAAAAAAAGGGGGGGGTGGCGAGGGAAAACAAGAGAATTCAGGAAACAAATGGGGGCTTTGTTATATGTTGCCATATAAACCTTTATTACAAACTCTAGTGTGCCTCTCCCTGCTTACGCAAGTGGTAGTGACAAGAAAGACGGTTTGTCTTAACTGAGAACAGGACTTGGAATATGACAACTTTTCAGCAAGGGATAAAAATGTAAAAAGAATTTGGCTTGTAGTAATTGTAACTCATAGCAGGAGTACCTGAGAACCATGATGCAGCTTTTCCTGGAAATGACTGAGGAAGCTGCTGTCATGTTCTTCCCTCCTACACAGGATAATGTTTGATAATATTTCTTGTAGTCATGGTGAGGCAGTAAATGTACATCCAACTCATCTGGACAACTAAAAGTACCTCCAGTTCTGGCTCTGAAAGTAGACTACACTGGCTGTAGGTAACTATTCCATTGGACTCCCAAGAAACTGAAGAAACTGCCTATCAAGCAGTAAATACGTAAAATGGGAGTCCATGATACTGCAAGTTTAGTAAGTTCTAATGGTAAGTCATACAACCTTATGTTGACCTAGTACAGCCTATTGGTGAGTCATACAACCTATGTATGTTGATCTAATTAAATACTGCAAGTAACAGTGGGTAAATCTGTATGAAAGTCCTTTACTGATTTTTTTCCCAGTTACAAACCACCTCATTTTAGAGCCAATTTTAAGCAATTTTAATAATTGTAAAATTATTACAAACATTTTTTTTTCTTTTTAATAGGAGCTAGGTTAAACAGGTGCTAATTCTCAGACAAATTCACAATGTGTTAAATATTACAGGATAATTTTGGAAATATTACACTAAGTGGGTAAACACAAATGAGGTCCTATTGCTGACAGTTAACTCTTTCAGGGAATTATGACCAGTAACAAAGAGGCAGAATAATGCAAAGTAGCAAGTGCTGTGGCCCAAATAACAGAATTTCAGATTTATCTAAACCCATAAAGTGTTCTCTAAGCTGACTTTATGTTAATGAAGACCTGGATAAAGGAATCCAGTGTTAAGGTATCATAAACAGTTGAAGCTCTGGCTGCGGAACAATCCCGTCATCAGCTGGTTCCTGCAGCTCTATTCAGAGCCACCGCCAGGACAAACAGAGTTGCCCCACTGATCTGTGCACTAAACAAATGGCAGAACACTTAGCCACATTTTGATATATCCTGTAGCAAAGTGGCACTAGGAAGTCCACCTGCTCCATTAGCAGCAAGGCATCTGTCACTCCTCACAGAGAAGCTTGGGATCAGCAAAGCCTTGGGTCATCTTGGGTCTCTACCATCTTGCTCTGGATGCTTGTGGTTCTTATATTAATGGAAAACCAGCACATGAATATTGCTATTAATTCAGAAGTATTACTCTGTAGTCCTCATGAGTCACAATGCCATTGATTTTAGCAAGTCTTGTATCCGCGGTTTTAGGCTCTGAAACCTTTTAAGCTTAAATTGATGATGCAGCATGAATGTAGAATGACTCTTGTGCTTAATTGCCATGCAATGGTGTTATTTTTAGAGGTGGCGCAGGGTTTTGTTGGCATGGTTCACATGAAATCACATAGATTAAAAAAAATCTGCATAACATGATCTGACAGCTGATTATGGGAGTCACTCACATCACAGTGACATTCTGCAAGCAGCAATTAAGACTGTAGTTTCAGGCTTAAATGCAACAGGGAAAGATTGGGTGGTAGTGTCACATCTTCAGGCTCAGATCTACTTCATTGTCATTACTTAGCACAGAACTTACATCGTAGAGAGCTTGCATTTTTATGCAGCAAGTGCTCTGTGCAGATACACATCTCCAAACAATTCTCTTACACAGCCTCTTGTTAAAGGGGGATTAGATCATTCCTGGTATTTTGTAATAAACTGGCATAATTTAAACAAGAGTTAAGTCAGCATGTTTGTTCACCATCACAGTAAGCTGTCTCTCCCTTACATCTTTCTATCCTAACTTAGCTGTTATATTCCTAGTGGAATTAGGTCTGTGGGGGTTTTGTTGTTGTTGTTTGTTTGTTTGTTTGTTTATTTTTTAATCTCGAATGTTAATTGCATTTGTCTTTGAGAAATACAGGGTATACTGATCACCTTGCCAGAGAAATTTATTTTTCATGGGTGAATGAAATGTGTTGAAACCATTCTCTAGTGCATTTCAATTTGATAATAACATCCATACCAATCCCTCATGCTCAAGACAGTAATTCAAAGTCTTGAATGCCCTGCACTCCTGCAGAAGGCTGTCTGAAGGAGCATCTTGCCTGAGGAGCATTTGTTAACCCTCTTGTCCCTTTAGATGTAAAGCTGAGAATGACCATGCATATGTTAGCAACAAACCAGGTCTTTAAGGACCTCTGAATTTAGCCATGTGGAGCTCCCTTTTACAATTTAGCAAATATTTTCTAGTAATCTAAAATGTATTTCAGTTCTTTGTGGCTGTTTCAATTGCAGCCTTATCTCATGCAACCTGGGCTGTTCTTGGAAAGGTTAACATAAAAGGCAAAGTTCTTTCAATCTTGCTTTCTTAATATATATTCAGGTTTCCGCTTAGGGTATGCATGCATGTAAATTACTCCATCTTGCTTAACTCACATACTTCCTATAAACAGATTTATTTTGGGTTTGAGTTCAATCATTCTCTTGGCATTTGGGGGTTTATATATGGATGCCTTATGATTTTCCTGTCTCCCACTGAATTTTGAAGCTCTGGTAGTTGTGGTTACCGACACCTGGTTAATGGTGTGTGTGAAAGTGCCTGTGCCTAAACAGATTAATAAAGATCTGCAATGATGGTACAGCCATTTTACAGGGGAACTAGCGCAGCAACCAGTATCTTGTGGATGAGGAAAACATGTATTCTCCTGGAGCATGAGATTAAGGCACTGCTTTTGTGATTTGCTTTCTTTGTGCCTGAAAAATA